GGGCAGAAGGATTTGGACGACTTGAAGACGCAAGTGGTGGCCTTGACAGCGCAGTGGAGTCGTACCGAGACCGGACGTAGGCCAACGCCGGGGAGTGGTCGAAACTGGCTGTGCCACTACTGCAGGCCGTCAAACCACCGAGGCGGCTGGCGCGCATGTAGCAAGCGGCAGAAGGAGAACCCAAGCTGGAGGCCAAAGCAGACGCAGTAGGGTTCGCTGAGCCCTGCTGTGGCCCGAGAGGGTTGCAGCAGGGCAATGTCCTCCACAGAGGAAGTATTCACAGCAACCGCTTTGCGAAGGAGTCCCTTCGTAGGGGTCAAACTTGAGAAGACTGAAGTTAGCATGCTGCTGGACACCGGTGCTGACATCAGTCTTATCAGCTCTACTGAAGTAGAACGGAGCGAGGTTCAGGGCGATGGTCGACCGGTGGCTGCACCTACACGCGGCGTCGATGGAACTGCAGGAAATTTTGACGGGCTGGTGTACCGGACAGTCACAATTGGAGGAGTCACCCTGACACACCACCCATTTCACGTCGTGCGAGGCCTGATCGTGCCCATCCTAGCAGGTGCTGATATCTTGAGCAGACTGGGCCGCCAGACGTGGGACTGGGAGACTGGTGAACTGTCCTTCGGTGAGCCACAATGCAAGGTTGCGCTAGAGAGGACCTACCGACCTAAAGCGTCTCCGGCTGGCTCGGCACTGGCAGTAGTGGCGGAGGACGTCGTCTTGCCACTTGGACGGGAGGTGTGGGTGGCATGCGAGATGAAGAATGCCGAGCCATGGGCAGAGTACCTTGTGGAGCCTGTCAGCAGCGAGACAGACCATCCAGTCCAGGCAATGTGTTGTCTCCTTCAACTGGGAACAGAGACGACAACACAGCTAAGGATGATGAACCTCAACAGGGAGCAGGAGGTACTGAGAAAGGGCACCAAGGTCGCTGCGCTGGAACCGAGGTTTGAAACTACCTTGCCAGGATCGAGGGATGCAACACAACATACCAAGACGGAAGTACGGAAATCGCAGCGGCACGTATCAGGGTATGAAGTGGATCCGAGGGCTAGCCAACCACACAAAGATTATAATTATTACCAGGATGGTCAGTGAATTCAGCGATCTATTCTGGGTAGAGGGCGACAAGTTACCGACTATTCGTGACCAAGTGTGTCATGAGATTCGGCTAAAGCCTGGAGCGACACCTGCGTGGTCACGACCAAGACGTTTGCATCCTGAAGTGCGTGAAGAGGTGCGTAAGGAAGTTGACTATCTGGAGAAGCAGGGCCTGATCCGCCCATCGGTGTCACCATGGGCCGCACCAATAGTGGCGGCACGCAGGAAGAACGGGAAGATACGGCTGGCGATGGACTACCGTCGCCTAAACGAAGCTACCTACACCTATTCCAGACACTAAGAAAATGTTGCGGAAGGCTCTGGGCAGTTTCGCATATGTGCAACGGTGGATCCCTGGGGTGGCTGAGATCGCCAAAACCTCTTCACACCAATCAAGTCCTACATTCACACCAAAACTCAGTCACTGTCACTTGACACCACATCAGGTATGTGATTTAAGTGGTTTCACAGAACTAAAGGATCTGTTAATTATGGTGTGCGTGTGTGTGTGTGTGTGTGTGTGTGTGTGTGTGTGTGTGTGTGTGTGTGTGTGTGTGTGAGCATGTGTGTGTGAGCATGTGTGTGTGTGTGTGTGTGTGTGTGTGTGTGTGTGTGTGTGTGTGTGTGTGTGTGTGTGTGTGTGTGTGTGTGCCCAGAACAGTTACAGGAATGCTGGTTTATGATACACTTGATTCGTTGAACAAGGTCTTTCAACTTCTGAAGATGCTGCAGAAGGTGGCCAGGCAGTGATTTCCACGGGACATTCCCACAGTACGCGACCCTGCACCTGGCAATGTTTAGTGCTGAGGAAGGCAGAGGTGATGAGATTTGAAAATGTTCAGATATTTCCCTTTGTGAATGTGCACTGAGCGGGATCTGACACCGCAGGCACGGGAGATTGCCCTTTGTTCTGCTCAGCACGTGTGGTGTCACTGGGGTGGTCCACGTCACATGTGGAAAGGTCCACTAAACGTTGAGGTTCGGTGATACTTGGTTGGTGTGGATCATAGGAGGGAGAGGGTGCAGGGATAGAGGGAGAAGGAGAGGGTCGTAGGAGGGAGGGTGAGGGAGAAGGTTGAGGGGTAGAAGGAGAGAGAGGGTTCAGGGACAGAGGGACAATTAGAGGGAGAGGGAGAAGGTTGAGGGGTAGAGGGAGAGAGAGAGAGGGTTCGGGGACAGATGGACAATTAGAGGGAGAGGGAGAAGGTTGAGGGGTAGAGGGAGAGAGAGGGTTCAGGGACAGAGGGACAATTAGAGGGAGAGGGAGAAGGTTGAGGGGTAGAGGGAGAGAAAGAGAGGGTTCAGGGACAGAGGGACAATTAGAGGGAGAGGGAGAAGGTTGAGGGGTAGAGGGAGAGAGAGAGGGTTCAGGGACAGAGGGACAATTAGAGGGAGAGGGAGAAGGTTGAGGAATAGAGGGAGAGAGAGAGGGTTCAGGGACAGAAGGACAATTAGAGGGAGAGGGAGAAGGTGGAGGGGTAGAGGGAGAGAGAGAGGGTTCAGGGACAGAGGGACAATTAGAGGGAGAGGGAGAAGGTTGAGGGGTAGAGGGAGAGAGAGGGTTCAGGGACAGAGGGAAAGTTAGAGGGAGAGGGAGAGGTTGAGGGGTAGAGGGAGATGGTGGAGGGAGAGTGACAGGATGGTGGGAACGACTTCGGAATAGGTTTACTCGCATTTTCAGAACTACAATGGTGATATCTTGGGACAATAAAAACTTATACTCTCCGGCCCCTCACGCCTAGTGCAACTAGGAAAATGGCAAGTGCAAATTAATAATGAGAGACCATCGATTAGCGCAGGCCTGCCACTGCTACTGCTGCTGGTCTCCATATGGCCGGTGGTTAGGGATGATGTCAATATTACTAGTGACTTGAGTCCCAGTGGTTCTGGACACAGACAAACATTAATTTTAATTAAATAGTTTAAATATAACTACTCAAGTAGGTAAGTTGAACTCGGATGGTGAACCTATTAGAAAGTATGGTAAATAAATGAAAAGGACAAAATGCTACGAGTTCTGATTAATTGTCTACCAACCACCAATGTAGCCGTAAAATTTAATGGTGTTGCTCTTGGTTATACCCCGTGCTCTTCTTCGTTGCGCTTTCCTTTACCTCTTGGACCTTTCCGAACCTGAGCCTTCCAAGTTGGAAGTAACTGCTGGTGTTAGTGGACATTATACTAGCGTAACTTGCAGTTCCTAAGTCCTTTTTCCTTTCCATGAATTTATCCTTGGCTCTCCATCTGAGTCCATACTTCATGCATGGTCAGGTCAATATTAGGGTCCGGCGGATTCTGCCGGCAGAAGCATTGGCAGAATTCGGTACTTTTTCTGGTAAGTTTCATGCATGTTTGGTATGTGGATAAAGAAATGGAGCAGAATTCGAGGAAATGCCCGCCATAAGGTTTGTATGGGTCTGCCAATTTCACTGCTTTTCGAGCAGAATCTGCCGCCTTTTCGAGCATTATCCGCACACCCCTACTGACAGCTTATACATGTACATGTATGGACTTGGTATTGAGTCCATGAGTAATTCTAGTTCTTTTTTTCGAGCCTACTCGCCTGGACTGGACTCAACAAAGGCAGTTCTTTGGAACGCACTCCACTTTCTGCTCATAGCCGCTCCTTCATCCTGTTCCAACTTTGTCAATGCATGAGTACACTCCTAGTGCAGTGTTTACTTCAGCATCGCTACATCTTGTGGAGACGCTATCGCCAGAGCCACAACGAGAAAACTCCTCTTCGTCTGTCTCCTCCATCATGTCCATGATCCATGGCTCTCCATGTGTTCTAAACAAACATCTACGCCATGTAAATCATCATTTCGGATTTGTGGAACAGCTTTGGTCGTAGTGCAGTATCCCTGCCTATCACTGTCACACAACCTCTTACTGTCTTAGTTACATTGTATTTGTAGTTCATGAGCCAGTAAACAGGTACAGAGTAATTAAAGTGCTTCTCTCACGCTACCACTTAGCTTGGCCCTCGTCAGACTACGAACATAGAAAATCCAGTACAAAATCACATAAAACCTAAAAGGCAACATTTTTCCATGCCTGCATTCAGACTACACATTTTACATTCAATATACAGGCAACCTTTGACCCTACGAAATAATTGCGCAAGGGACCTAGAATGTGTGAAAGCAGCGGACAGTCGTACCCGGGTACATGTACAAAGTTCGTACAACTGCCTGGTGAAAGTAGCCATGACTGGCTATAATCGCCCTCACCTCCTCCTTGATTGGCCTTGGCCATGAGTGTGTGCGTTATAATAATAGTAAGTACGATAAATGCAGGAAAGTTGCCTTGTACAAGGGTTGGCACCCTGCCTGAAAGGATTGGGCAGCTTTTTAGGCTTCCCGCCAGATTCTTGTTGTTGTCTTGGAAACTTCTATGTAAGTGTGACATAGGCTGTTTTGTACCTAGTCTGAAGAGGGCCTTAGGATTAGACAGTCCTGAGTGCATGCCCGACATAGCATAACCCATAATGACACCCATTCATGCTGTACTCTGCATTACCTTGATTCTTGTAGGCTGTAGTCCTGCGTCATGCACCGTTTCCGATCCCCGAGTCCCCGACCCTTTTGATCACCAGGTATAAGATTTCTCTCGCTCTATTGCTTAATTTATTTTATCACCCACACGCACATCAAGCAAGTGGAAGTTGGAAATTCGCACAACACTGCTGATATTGCAAGCCAAGGTGCTCAAACAAACTTGTTTGCATAGGAAGGTCTCGCTGCTGTTCGTTGCCAGCAAGGCTGCGAGTCACGCTTGCTGCGCATGTGACATTTTCCCATGCTTGGGGTCCCGGGGACGATGTACGATGACAGCCGGCATTGTGGACTGCCTGCGAGGCGCTGGCCGCGAGTGCTTCTGTGACATGATAACTTTGGTTTTCCCGTTGCAAACCTACATAATTATTATTGTCTGAACAGCTGTTACTGTTAATAATGATCTGCTGTGCTACACATACATGTAAAGTGAAGCGTGTCGTAAGGGAGTTCACCACAACAGGTCCACAGTGCACTGGAGAGCTGTCCATCTCAGCCAGTGGTAGTCTGATCAAGTTGGATTGTATGATGAAGCAGGATTTGAGCCCGATATGTTTTTACATGTTAATATTTTCAGGAACAGTGGTCGTTAATACACAGGTCAGAATGTTTGCTAAGACATGGTATGGGATTTGAGATGACCCTAAAAGATGACCCTAAAAGGCCTTTCAATACGGGTTAGCAGGCTTGTGGAGGCATGTTCTGGTATACTGTTATGGGATGGGTGGTCGCTAAGACAGGTGGCATCTTACCGGAGTGGGCGCTATAGCCAGGTACTACTCATTGCCGACTTGTACTACTAGTCTAGAAGGCTCCCTGATTGGGCCAAAAATCGCTTACATAATGTTATTACCGTGCATCACATTCAGACTGGCATAATGTGATTATTTTGACAAAGATAACACAGTGATTTGAGTCATTGAGATAACTCTGGTACAATACTCCTATTCACCGTAGCATCTGCAGTACACCCATGGTCTGGATACTGTGGATAGTGCAAGGACAGCCTGCCGCTAACTTCATTGGCCTGTTGGAAAACTTCCGACCTGGAATATGGTGAAACAGTTGACGAAGCATTGCATGGCGAGGGCGGCGTAGTGCATCTGTCTTGCCCAGCCTGAAGGGAGGCTTGACGTGAATACAAGATCGGTAGCCGTATTGGGGGAGAGCTGGGGTGTCGAACAGCAGAGTCTTCCTTTTCACTTCCTGAGACATATGCGTGACAGTATTGCAGTGTGTTTACGTCATAGCGAGATCCATTATCACCTTCTGCCAGTCCTGGCGTGCTAGACCTAACGGCTGTGTGTTCTGGAATACCAGTGGCGCAATCCGTTGACCGAGGTCGACTGGATATCGTCGGGGTCGGTTTGCTGCTTGGGACAAAGTCGATGTAGTTTGCTGCAATATCGACCACTGGCGTGCTTGGCAGAACGGGAGTGTGTACTGATAGAGCATTGGAGCCATCCTTTGTTAACTTCGGAATCGGTTTGCTGCTTCGGACAAAGGCAGTGTATGGCGTAATTGGCAGCACAGGAGTGTGTGATGGTACGAGATTAGTGCCGTCTTGTGGCCGAAGTGTGGGCCGAAACGACTTGGAAATCAGCTTGCTCCTTGTGAGGCGATATCGTACGCAAAGGATGACGAACACAATAAGAATGAAGAGTAGACTGAATAGCAGTCCCAGGGTTAGTTCAAGCCCGATGCTGCTGCTGTTGCTGCTGTTGCTGTCGCTGCTGCTGCTGCTGCTGCCCTGGACGCTACTACTGGTGTTAGTTGTGGTCCGCACTGTTGCCATTTCTGATCCCAGCTTGAGTGTTGGTGCTGAGTAGGATGTTCAATAGTAACACATATCCACATTCACCCACAAACAGCCATGCATACGTACATGTACATGTACATGTGTATGCATGCATGCACGCACACACACACACACACACACACACACACACACGCACGCACACACACAGATACAATCATGTGTTTTAGATCGCTCAATCCACCTTTGGTCATCACAGTCAATTCTGCCTTTCCAGAATGAGTTGGAAAAAGTGGAAGGCCTTATTAGGGAGTGACTTGGACAAAAGGACAACATACTCAATGGGGAAGCTGAGTGGACAATGCAGAGATACGGCCATAATATTTTCCACCGTACCCTAAACATCATGTTAGGCATATGCAGATAATGCTGGCAGAAAAATTGGCAGAATTCGGTACTTTTTCTGGTAAATTTCATGCATGTTTGGTATGTGGATAAAGAAATGGAGCAGAATTCGAGGAATTGCCCGCCATAAGGTTTGTATGGTTCTGCCAATTTCACTGCTTTTCGAGCAGAATCTGCCACCTTTTCGAGGATTATCTGCACACCCCTACTCCTGATACATGTGTGTGTAGTATTTTTCTTATTGAGCAATCAAATGAGTCATTACTAATTATGAAAATAACGGTCGAGGTCTTTGACGAGATCTAAGTTTATAATAATTGACCGAATGCGAATGATTATTGGCTCGACACAAAAGTGAGTGGAAGATTTTAAAAATAATTTTAAAAATAACGGTTTTATTTGTTCATTCTTGTATTGCAACTTACCAGCGGTGTGGATGCTAGAGCCTTTCAATTCCTGTGTCTCTGCCGGCGCCTTACTCATGGCTAGAGTTGAAACGATGAGAGGCCCTCCGCACATCGAACAGCAATGGGGATAGCTTAACGAGATGTTGATGTTGGCCGAGAAGCGATCACAAACAAGACGGGAAATGATACACGAATCTAGAAGAACGCAGCCGAGAAAGCGACGAGAAAGAAGAAGAAGAAGAAAGAATATTAGCCAGGTAATGATTGTGTGGTATTTTATTTACGTTGTCATTCTCAACAAACCATTTGGCTTTCTTACAGCGCACCCAAGGTACATACACATGTACATGTACATGTATGCGCCGAGTACATGGCGACATACACTAGGGTGTGCAGCGTATTGCATAATGCATTGTATTTGATCATTTTACTTGGGCATTCCCAACAGTCAGACCCTATATTCTCCTTACAGGGTGCCCAAAATGAATGTACATGTACATGACCATTGAACATGTATATGTAAATGGTCATGTACATTGTACATGTACATGTAGACATGTACATATACATGTACATGTACATGTACATGTACATGTACATGTACATGTACATGTACATGTACGTGTTTTTAATAAAACAACATTCCTGGCGAAAGAAATATGGGCAGATTAGTGTGAATGGATTTGACGGTGTATCTGTGTGCACATTGGTTACAGTGGTGGAACTATTGTAGAATGTGTCAAGACTCGTAGTGCGGTGAGAGGTGTTTGCTTGTCAAATAATAATAATAATTCCCAGTCCTCCATAAAGAGTACAGGGCAAACCTGACGGTCACATTTTTCAGCGTTTCAATTAGAAAAAGACACAAAAGGCACTGCTGTGTGTGCGTGTGTGTGCGTGTGTGTGTGTGTGTGTGTGTGTGTGTGTGTGTGTGTGTGTGTGTGTGTGTGTGTGCATGTGTATGTGTATGCGGATGTGTAAGTGCATGTATACTGTAAGTGTGTGTGCGCGTGTGTGGCGTCCAATGGTCCAATGGTCCAATGGTCCAATGGTCCAATGGTCCAATGGTGTATGTGTTTGTGTGTGTGTGTGTGCGTGTGTGTGTGTGTGTGAGCTTGAGTGCTAATAGTTTAATGAATGTACGTGTCTGTATGTGTAGAGGGAATGAATAATAATTATAAAGACAGGGAGACAGACAGCCAGACAAAGAAGATTGAGCATGAATTTTAGTATCCGAGAGAGATTCGAAATATACCAAGCCTCACACGTGCGTTGCATACCTTCAAACAATGGATCAGATTCGATTGAAAATAGCTCGCTACTCGGGTGCGCAATCCCATCCGTCGACCGAGCAGGAGAGCTCAAGTCTGGTTCATGCACACACTCCAGTATGACGTCACTGGGAGTAACCTCGCCAGGGAGCACCGCTAGGGAATAGGCATCACCACTCTCCTCCAGGGCTACTTCTCGACGGGAGCCAGACCCACAGGCGCGCTTGTAGAGAACTCGATGATAACCTTCTACCCGTGCACATGTTACCTCCAAGAAGCGACTGCCGCTGCAGTGAATTGCTGAAGAACGTGAACATGACGACGATCCTTGAGCAATAAACAACAAAATAATTAATGTTATGGTGAAAAAAGAAGGACAAAATGTTACGAGTTTACGACTAACTGTCCACCAACATCACCAGATCTTATACTGTCAGCGAGTGCGACAAAATGACACAAAACTGACAAGGGGTCCTGAGACATTCGGCGACCTGACACCTACAATTAGCTCCGACACTTTTCCAAGGCGCAAACCAACAACCTTCCAACTTGGAAGGCTCTCGGAAAGGTTCAAGAGGGGAAGGAAAGCGCAACGAAGAAGAGCACGAGCTACGCATTACGGCAACAAAGAATGCCGAAAGTTACTGGATGATGACGAAACTAGTAAGACTATTGGACATACATGTACCGGCCTTACTACAACTCGACGACGCAAAGCAACAGACCACCCAACTTGGGAGGCTCTAGTTTTCGTAATTAACGTAGAAAGGGGAAGACGAATTGTGACAAACCGAAGCGCCTAGTAACTGCCAAGCGTCTTGGCGCGACGGGCGAGCAATGCAGTGTTATGCCCCAGGGGCTGCTGTGGCTGTCGACGTCGGCGGGTCGTGGGGTGAGTTTGCAGGCCTTCATGGTGCTCGGACAAGTGCAATACACCGACTACCACTGCAGTACACAGATTCTGGCTCATTCTTTCTTCATTGATAGTCATAGGGATTGATTTTGCGCGCCGAATTTCTGACGCCGCATGCATGTCCCATGCGCGTCAACAGTACATGTACTGTACTTCACACTTTCCTTTTCCCGCGTTATCAGCAGCTTTGCCAGTTTTGTATTCGGAAAACCATGCATATACATGTACATGTATATGCATTATAATACCGGTACTAGTAGGAGTTTGGTCTACATGTGTATTTCTAATCATTTAACATCTACCTTCACTGATGAGCTATGTCATAGCGAAACAGCTGTCTGAAGGAATTATCAATATCGTCTACGGAAGTGCCCTCGCAGTGGTGATGGTTGTGTGCAGAAGGGTCTAGTCGGCTAAAGAGCGCAGTGTAATGGTGGAGGTGACTCAACAATTTCTTCAATGGCCGAAAACCTGTGGACAGCAACTGGTTCGCTCTGTTAGAGCTCCTCAGCACAGCTCAGAGGACCGAAGCGCAGCTCTTCGCAATTAAATACGTTTCCGTGAAGCAAAGCATTTTTATAAAGAGCTGCAAACCCCGCCAAATAGAGCTACATGTACAGGTACATTGTGAGTCTGGCACTCATTATCCTACTTCAAAGTATACACGTACATGTACATGCATGTACATGCATCAATCAAGGCAAAGAAGGTGGGTATGAAGTGAATGCTTTCTCGGGATCATCACGTGATTTAGTAGGTACATGTATGTGGGAAAACCATAATTATGAAGCTACAAATTTCCCAGATGACTGAAATTACAATGTAGTTCCACATCCACCACATACAATAAATTTTGTTTACATGTACATGTACATGTACATGTACATGTACGCTCACTGGCCGACTTCATCCACACCACTACTGACAGTACTGTGTAGGCCTTTGCGGATAATGCCGGCAGAAAAATTGGCACAATTCGGTACTTTTATGCATGTTTGGTATGTGGATAAAGAAATGGAGCAGAATTCAAGGAATGGCCCGCCATAAGGTTTGTATGGTTCTGCCAATTATTATTTCACTGCTTTTCGAGCAGAATCTGCCACCTTTTCCAGCATTGTCCCCCAATGCGTAGTACTGTGGCAGTAGTAGCACAACTCGAACTCGAAGCACTTCGATCCTGGGATTCCCCATTACTAGCATTAGCAACTACATGTACACCCGATACAGTCATGTACAATTATTTAAAAAAGAATTGTAATGTAGTTCGAAGTACATGTACATCACTAGTCTACTACTAGTAGTACTAGTACTAGCTACAGGCTACTGCCTAGTACTCAGTCTAGTAGTAGATCTAGTACTAGGCAGCCACGCACTGCACGCGCAGTCCTGCTTGTGTAGCGTTGACACGCTCGCAACATGTAAAGGGGAAGCTAAGGCAAAAATTAAAATTTCACCAGTTGTAGTCTTCGGGGTGCTGAGTCGAATGGTCGTGGTCCGAGGAAGCTGAGACGCTCCCTTCCTACTTGAATCCCAATCGAACTCGCGCACTTCCACCGAAACTGGGTGACTGCGCCCTACTAGATGGGGATTTGTATGCAAAATGTCACTAAAAGCGCCATTTCGTTCTTATAAAAGCACGGATGACCGCGATTCGCCCATATGTTGTAGTCTTTTGGACGCTGAGTCGACTGGTTTTGGTCCGAAAAGGCTGTGATGCAGCGTTCCTCCTTTATTCCCAATCGAACATGGTTGAACAAGCGGTCACGTGCTGCTGCGTACGCCCGTCACCTGGTCACCGTGCCTGCAGGGTACAACTTACTAGCCTGTTTGACCTTTTTTGGGTGCAGTCCTGTCACTCGAGTTGAACCTTGGTGTGAAAGTTGTCGCCTGCTGGCGTGGTGACCAGGTGATTTGGGCACCCAGGAGCACGTGACCGCTTCTTCAACCATGTTCGATTGGGAATAAAGGAGGAACGCTGCATCGCAGCCTTTTCGGACCAAAACCAGTCGACTCAGCGTCCAAAAGACTACAACATACGGGCCAATCGCGGTCATCCGTGCTTTTATAAGAACGAAATGGCGCTTTTAGTGACATTTTGCATACAAATCCCCATCTAGTAGGGCGCAGTCACCCAGTTTCGGTGGAAGTGCGCGAGTTCGATTGGGATTCAAGTAGGAAGGGAGCGTCTCAGCTTTCTCGGACCAAGACCATTCGACTCAGCACCCCGAAGACTACAACTGGTGAAATTTTAATTTTTGCCTTAACTTCCCCTTTAACACAGCTAGCTGCAGCGTGAATCACTTTCAATGTATTGGTCACGCGTGTTGGGTGTGGTGGAACTGACCTAAAACCAGTATATCACCCGCGCGCACCACACAGTCACACACACGCGCGCACGCACGCACGCACACGCACACACACACACACACACACACACACACACACACATGCGTATACGAATACTAATGCGCATTCTTGCGTGCTGAAGGCAGGAATGTAAGTGGTATGCATTGTTTTTTTTAATGTTGTTATACCAAAGGACTCCCATGATCATATCAAAACATTCCTGGCAAAGTATGAATGAACAGTGTAAGTACCGGTCCTTCAAATAACGTAAACATTACTCATCCCAAAGTTTCCCAAGAGTGCAATTCCCAAATAGTACCATGTGCCCTAAATTCAAGTACATGTACAGTAAGATCGGGCGCCGAAGAACGCAGGGGCTCGAGCGCAGCCTAGGAAAGTTCTTAAATTTTTGATTCTAGCCAGACCGTTCTTATTCACACGCGCGCGGCGAGTCGTCATGACGTTTGTCATGTACATGTACATGTACATGTAGTGCAATGTAGTACTTCTAAACTAGTGGGTGTCATAAATGGGAATGACTGTACATGTAGCAGTTACTGTTTACACGTGTACATGACATGTACTCACCTCCCATACATGTACAATGTTCCAAATTTTAAAAGTGTTCTTAAATCTGATAATTCTAGCCTGGACTGTTCTTAAATTTTGCCGGTTTTCCAGCCTGGGTGTTCTTCGGCGCCCGATCTTACTGTACATGTACATGTGCATGTACGATCATAAAATCTTGTAGGACGCATCACGCAGCTTCATAAGTAAAAAAATTGGTCGTGAGCAACACTGGCTCACACTCAATCACTGCTTTTCACCAGAAAAATATTTTTCTGTTGAAAAGCAGTGATTGAAAAGCAGTGATTGAATGTGAGCCAGTGTTGCTAGCAACCAGATTTTTATGTGCGATCATGTACATTATATTGACTTGAAGTTGAACTAACTTGCTGCTGTTTACCTAAGTAGGTATGTACATGTACATGTACATGTACATGTCTTTTTTATGCTGTTGTGGTTTTGTTTTTGCGTTCTTTGCGTGTTTTTGCCTTTTTTCTTTCTAGAACTTTGAGTTCACGTTTTTGGAACACTTGGGAAAAATACTCATTGTGTTTATTTTTCAATGTGCGCAAGCTCCACTGCAGCCACTTCATTAAATGGAAACCCTTAGTAAGTTACACACACACACACACACACACACACACACACACACACACACACACACACACACACAACACACACACACAACACGCACACACACCATCTTCAATCCAAATGGTCTCTTCGCTGTGTATATTTTGCCCGTAAAATAGGCTGTAAAGTACATCATATTGTACATGTACATGTACATGTACATGTACATTATTATTGCACTTGTACATTGTACATGATATACATCTTCATGTACAATGTACATGTACATGAAGATTTTATGTACATTGTACATGGGTGTACGTATTTGTGAGGTCTTCCACTTCCAGCACAGTCAGAGTCGTGCAGGTTTCTGGCTTGACATGCGCTCCTTTGCCAGTTCAACACTCATCAAGTTTACCCTCGAGAACTGCGGCTCAGCACTTTGACTTGAGTGCCCCATTCTCAGTATCGCCAGACGGGTTTGGATCTAAAATACACATCCATCCTGCAATTTTCACACTAATAATTGCATTTGTGAATTGCATTGCTGAACTACACATACCTGTACATGTACTCGTCCACAGTACAATGGTCACAGGTACACAGGTACGTTCTGGAGCACTCAATAACAGGAAAGACCGAGTCGCTTTCTAGTAAGTCTCTACCAAGTACCAGGAGTCGCTCCGCCAATACAATCATGATGTAGAAGCGCAGGGTAGGGTCGCTCTTGAGCAACGCAGAGTCGCGCCACAAGCATGCACAGCTTGCCCGGATACTTCCCACCCGGAATCATGCCGCCCTTCAAGTCTAAGTGCTGGTCCGAGCACATTTTCCGGGCAAATCACCGCAAGTTCCGGCTCAACATAATAATAATCATTATGTATTTATAGAAAAGAAAAAGGACCAAGGAACTACAAAGTACGCTATAATGTCCACTAACACCACCAGTTACTAAACAATCAGCTCATGCGATAACATTGCACGACATTATAGGCATCGGCGGATAATGCTCGCTAAGGTGGCAGATGCTGCTCGAAGAGCAGTGAAATTGGCAGAACCATACAAACCTTGTAGCGGGCAATTCCTCGAATTCTGCTCCATTTCTTTATCCATATACATGTACTAAACATGCATGAAACTTACCAGAGAAAAAGTACCGAATTCTGCCAATTTTTCTGCCGGCATTATCCGCATATGCCTACTGACCCACGATACTGACGTTCTGCAACTAACTGGCTAACAGCTCAAGCACATCTTGGATGCGCACTCCAGCAAACTTCCAACTTGGAAGGTTCAAAGTAATTAGTTATACACAAAGGCAGTATGCTTAGGTTCTGCGAAAGTGCTCAATACCTGATTCAGGCAGAGCGGCGTACATAAAGGCACACAATGAAAACGTTGGGCAAATTCCGTTGTGAGTCAGAGTTCTAAGTTCTAAGTTGTAGAAATAACTTTTCTATAAATATAACCTTGGCTCTCCGTCCGAGTCCATTATGTATTCGTGAGCTCGACTGCTCTTCTCCCAATCCCATCCCGAAAATCCCATGACTTCACCCGCAAACTGTCCACGCAGTACCTTGTGGGTTTGATTTTGTCATTGTTGTCCCGCCTGTTGGCTGTTCAAGTGATAGTTTCACGCGATTCTTCGCCTTTTCTATTTTTTGTTTGTCACCTGGAGTGAGGTACGCTTGCCAATATTGTGCTTCTCGCTTCGCTTTCTTGCTCTATTTGGTGCTATTTAGTTTTTGCATGGCTATAAATAATGGCTACCGCACAGTCCGTCACCTTGGTTGCGATACGAAGAAAGTTGCAATCTCCGAAACGCTTGTTTAATGATAACGATATTCGTAGTAACAAGTATTTCAGTTAGAGAAGTGAAGAGTTACACTGTAATACACATGAGCTTTAAAAATCATTTCGTTCTCTTTAACGACTGAGTACTAGTAATCCGCGTACACCACTCACCTGCGTCCGCCCCGTGCACTACACCACTCCCTGTTAGAACCAACAGTAGACAGAGCCAGTTGTGCAAGGGTCCGGTGATCAGGGGCTTCAACGTCAGCCTGGATAGCCTGCAGAGTATGGAATCGCCCTCTACTGCGACATAATCATGATCGGTGTTGGGCTCATGGGCAAACGTTGGGTTTAAGGCATCTGTAACAAGTTTGTTACATTCCTCAGTTTCACTATACATATCGTCCGAATTACCAGACAACATCACAGCCTCCTGCATTTCAAAAAGGACATCGTGAACGTCCAACGACTACCCCAGGCCTGAATCAGAACGAGGGCGAAACGGGGTGGCTACCTCGAGCGAGCATCTTCACTCTGATGAGATTGTACCTTGCAGAATTCAGTTTTGTACACATTTGGTGCGTGGTATGGCACCATGCTTCGCTCTATCTACAAAGTCACACTCTTCTCGCGTGATAGACATGTGAACAAAACTTTTCAAAGGCACTGTGCTAATATTAATAACAATGTCGTAACGTCTTGGTAGAAGCAACAATCAACAGTCAGTATGCGGAAAATGCCCTAAGTACATCAAAGACTTCACGCTGAACAGTGCTGTAGAAATGAGTCTTGCCTGGTTCCAGTTCAAGTGACCCAAGCAGTGAGACAGGCAACGGCCTATGGCTATTTCGGCTACTAGTACTGTACATGTACTATTATAACCTAACACTGATTAAAAACGCGGAAGGTTGTAGTAAGGTCACTGTTTCCGAACACAGTGTCCTCCACCTTGTTTCATGCTGTCAATCTAACGAAAATAGTAGCTACATGTACCGTATTTTCCGGGGTATAAGCCGCACCGGGGTATAAGCCGCACCGGGGTATAAGCCGCACCGGGGTATAAGCCGCACCGGGGTATAAGCCGCACCCCCCCCCCCCTTTGAGGCAAAATATTGACAAAAAGTTGGTATTCGCAGTCTAAGCCGCACCCACAAACCAAGATTTTTCACGCTCATTGACAAATGGCCTTTCTACAAATGTATTATGGTTATGGAGCTAAATACCATGTTAGATCAGATTATGAAGTGTTAGTGCACCACAGGTTGCTGCAGAGTGCCAGAGATGTTGGTCTGTGTTGACTACAGTCTAGTAGTAGTAGTAGTACAGATCAGTCCATGTCATCTGCGCGAAGCTGAGTCGATCGAATGACATGTCACATGACGTCAGCATGCATACTGATGTATGCTAAGCATTCATTCGCGCAAGTATATTCGGTGTATAAGCCGCAGGGCCTAGGGGCGATTTTGGTCCGATTTTTAGCGAAAAAAAGTGCGCCTTATACCCCGGAAAATACGGTACATGCGATTCATACACGCCTGTCCACACAAAAACGGCGTGCCGTTTCAGAATACGTGACGTACACACGGTGCGCTGTCCACACTTCGCTCTGTCACCTGTACCACTACGTGTACCTGTTCATTTTTGTCCGTGGATGCACTACTGCACTGGCAGACACACAAGTGATTTGTAGTTGTAGACCAGGCAAGCACTCCCTGGCTTGGTCTAGACCTACCCAGTGTCATGCCCCAGGGGCTGGCTGCTGTGGCTGTCGACGTCGGCGGGTCGTGGGGTGAGTTTGCAGGCCTTCATGGCGCTCGAACAAGTGCAATACACAGACTCTCACTGCAGTACACTGGTTCTGGCTCATTGTTTACAGTACTTCACACTTTCCTTTTCCCGCGTTATCACAACAGGTATGCCAGTTTTGTATGTGGAAAACCCTACATGTATTATGTACATGTAGGGTTTTCCACATACAGATGTTGAATGATTAGAAATATACTTGAAGTAAACCAAACTGCTATTATAATATTATTATAATAGCAGTTTGGTCTACTTCAAGTATATTTCTAATCATTCAACATCTATCTTCAATGATGGGCTATACATTAGCGAAACAGGTGTCTGAAAGAATTATCAATATCGTCTACGGAAGTGTCCTCGCAATGGTGATGGTTGTGTGCAGAAGGGTCTAGTCGGCTAAAGAGCGCAGTGTAATGGTGGAGGTGACTCAACATTTTCTTCAATTGCGGAGAGCTCTGTCGCACCCTGGAATAATGTGGTAACATTCTGGCAAGAGTAAGGTCATTAATTTTACAATGTCAGGGCTCACCACGACCATACAAAGCGTCAATAACGGTCATTTGGATTTGACCAATCAGCGCACAGCAAAACGGGCTGTTTCTTGCAATTGTGGGGTGTTTTCTGAGTGGAGCTTGGCTGTATTCGTTGGTTTTAGACATTAGGCCATTGTGGATTCGTGTTCAGAAGGTGTGTCTTTGGGGGGTTACCGTCTCGAATTTTTCGATTTGGCCTTCGTTTGGCTGAGATCGGATGGTGAAATCACTCAAACGCGAAGGCGTGCAAACAAGTGAATGAAGAGAAAATTAGAAATCGGGGACGGTAAACCGATAGAGAATTCCAAGACCTTGAAAATGAGCTATCGATGATGAGAATCGGCCAAGGAGAACCGCTGTTCTACTTTTTTGAAGACATCAAGGTCGGCCGTGCGTCGCCGCGCGCACCAACAAAAACTGGCAGCCGTGCGCATATCTGCAAGTGCAACAAGAAAGGGCGGAGGAGACAGCAAGCGTTCCAAGTGAAGAGTTTACCTTCGTGTTGGCTCAAGCTAAGGACTCATGCCAGTCAGGGATCATACTAGTCACCTCTCATCATGGTCATGACTAAGGGATTCATTTGTGACAAGGAAACTCCCCACTCGCAGCGTGAAAGCTGCGAGGCCAAACAGAAAAGAGTGTGCCGAGTCGCGATCAGGAAACGCTGAGTTCTACTGACAACATTGGTTAGCTAGGCGCGGCAAATTCTTGTAGATGCCAGGACTCAAGTTCACCAGTACCCCACGGACATATCTTGGTCGACACCCACCAGCGGATTGAGAAAAATGACCAAGATTGCTTGGAGAAAGGACGTCTTCTCCGCGTGTCTTTCTCGACATCAAACAACAAGATTCGCTTCGGCACTGGCCCTTCGCTGTACAGAGTAGCCCAGGAAGTCGTAAAATACCGGTATTTTACGACTAGTAAAATACCGGTATTTTACGACTAGATTGTACATCGCTGTACATCGATGAGCATGAACTCGGGTGCGTAGCCGCTATGACTGCACAAACTCTGGCTTTGGCGGCATTCAAATTGGTGGTTGACGCTTTTTGAATTTTGTATGGTCGTGGTGAGCCCTGTCATGTAGTTGTGTGCAACAGCAGGAGTGCAGCTGGTATGTAAAAGGCGGTTGAAGCTGAAGTGTCTGAAAAGGTCTTTTGTGTACATGTAGTATTTCTACTTGAAGTAGAGTGCACGCGGAAACATGAATACGGCCCGGCGGGAAGATGCGGTTGGTGCTACAAGTCATGGACATGTCATACAATGACATTATGTACATGTATCAAGAGTATAGTCATAATAGACCGATCCCCTTATCATACTGGGTTCGAGCACGGGGGCAACCTCACTCGCGATCGAGCTAGTTTTTGAACGTGACAGCATCTTTGACAGTGTGTTTCAGGTTTGTTTTGGAATGTCTTCTGCTTAGTTCAAGTAGTTTGCGATGGCTTCGAGCGGTGCTGAACCTCCTGCTGGTAGGAGCAGAGTCTCCGAGAAAGACATGGACTGTGATGCAGCTGTAGGATTTTTTCAAGGCGCGGGAGGGAACGATCTCGGGCCACAAACAGGAGTTACTCCAGAGGTGAGTTTTGTTGTTGTTGAAATATTCGAATCGTGAATCGTGTTTTGAGATTTATTTTGTGCCTAGGCTTTAGCAGACCGTATTTCTTTCTCCTTGAGATCGGTGCTGAAGACAATAGTAACCTTTTTCTGGTCTGCCTTTTCCTCTCCAGAGCCATCTTCTATGAAGGTAACCGTGGTGCTGCCAAGTCACCAAGTCGCGATCGCGATCAGCAGCCCTGAAGTGGAAAAATCGATTTTCCACTGAACGATCTGGTTGGACATCAGCCACTAAAGTACTTCTGATTTGCCTGTAGTGACAACAGCAGCCATCCTTGGACACCTTGCAAAGACAGGAAAAGCCACTGGTGGAAGCGACTGCTATGAGGTGACGATAGCAGTGCAGTGGTGATCGCTGTTTTGTCAAGTCGAAGGGCTAGCCAACCCAGAGGAAGCAAAAAAAACGATGAGCAGTGCGCGGTATTTGTTGAGCGTGAAGAGCTAGAGGAGGACAATGCAAACACATGGACGGAGTGGATGGTGTTTGAAGAACAGTGTGCTGTGTGCCGGCTGGTGGTGATGGTGGTCTTTGTCAGCATGCATACGTGCTGCTTCTTATGCTGGAACACTTCTCGCCCAGGAAGGCAGATTGCGTGCTCCCTGGCCCTCAGTCGGCAATGGGGCATTTGTTCCAGGAACATTACCCCAGAGCCAGTGATGAGTCGTACCTTTGAAAAGTTGAAGCTTGCTGTTAATCGCAAGCGTAGCGCAGTGGACTGCTCCCTCTTCGAAGCACGAGGGCCAAAGCTTGCCGCTGTCTGCAGCAAAGTGTGTGTGCGGTTCTTTCGAACCTATGAATATACCCCCCCCCCCCTCTCTCTCTTAGGAAGACTGCATGTTCAGAGTGAACTATTTTCTAGTATATTTAATGTGAGACGGGCTGTTTACGCCCAAGATGAAGATACAGGTTTTTTTTCCGTTTCTATACCTTCCTAATAAAATACATCGTGACAGAGCTTTCGGTCATACTCCGCTGTACTACATCCTCAACCCGCCACCACCATGCGCTCTTGGCCGAACTAATGCACGCAGCTGTTTCGTTTTTTCAAGCTCATCGTTAGAGGAGGATAGTAGCAGGATACTAATGATGAAATAATATAAGATGATACTAGTAGACGGTTTATGGTCCGATATTGATGATTGGAGATCTAAGAAAGCAATGACAGTGATTGCGAAATGGATAATATTATCATGATTATATGCCAGTCTGGTAATGCATAGTACTAGTGAACAGTATTGAAATCATCACTGCATTCGATGCAAATATTGGTATACCTTTGGTTTCAGTATTGCAAAAAAAGAACCTGGTTGATTTGGTTGCATCTGTGACTGGCTACCGGGTGTTGTGACCGGCAATGTTACCATGGGAGAAAATAAGAGCGCAAGGATCTGTTGGGTCTTGTTGTGCCGTGCCGGTGCGAGAACCCTAAGTGCATGGCAAAATAGAACTGTTTCATCCCCATTGCAGAATGTCTTGCGGTACATGGCATTGATGACTGAACATCTCGCCAGCTCACCTAGATGGGGATCATGCCCAAACGGAGGAACAAGACATCTTTCCAGCTCAGCTAGCTATATACCG